TGTATAAAATTGTCACCAAAGTGTTAGCTAACCGTCTTAAACTAGTACTACCGTTCATTACTCATGAGTCGCAGAGTGGATTTGTTCCGGGGAGATTGATTACAGATAATGTGTTGGTTGCATATGAATGTTTTCATTATCTCAGGAAAAAGAAAAAAGGGAAGAAAGGTTTTTTAGGCCTTAAGCTTGATATGAGTAAGGTCTACGACAGGATAGAATGGGTATTTTTGCAGAAAATGATGATCAAGTTAGGTTTGCCGGAATCTTTTGTGCAACTTGTTATGAAATGTGTTAGCTCTGCAGAATTCGAGGTGTTGGTAAATGGGCAACCGTCTAGGAGTTTCAAGCCTAGTCGTGGGCTCTGGGAGGGTGACCCGATCTCCCCGTTCCTTTTTATTATGTGTGCAGAAGGTTTGTCGGCTCTGGCTCTGCTTAGGGATGCAGAAAAGAGAAATGCTATTCATGGTATTAAAATTGGCAGACATGTCAACCCCATTTCTCATCTTTTTTTCGCAGATGATAGCCTCTTGTTTGTTAGGGCGACGGAGGAAGAGATTGAGAATGTGTTGGGAATCCTTTCTACTTATGAGGTGGCTTCTGGTCAGAAACTGAATATGGACAAGTCAGAGGTGTCTTTTAGCCGAAACATTGATTAAGAACGGAAGAATATGCTTCAGATGAAGTTATCCTTTAAGGCTGTCGAAGGACATGACAAATATCTTGGGTTGCCGACTTACATTGGTAATTCTAAGAAACAGGTGTTCCATAATATTCAGGATCGAATCTGGAAAAAATTAAAGGGGTGGAAAGGAAATTTTCTTTCACAAGCGGGGAGGGAAGTGTTGATAAAGTCGATAGCCCAAGCAATTCCTACATATGCAATGCAGTGTTTTTTGATCCCAAGTAGCATTTTAAATGAGGTAGAGAAATTGTGTCGTCAATTTTTTTGGGGTCAAAAAGGAGAAGAGAGGAAGTTGTGTTGGGTGGCGTGGGATAAATTGTATGTGCCAAAGAAGGAAGGAGGGCTCGGTTTTAGGAACATGAAAAATTTCAATAAAGCTCTCCTTGCTAAACAAGCTTGGCGCATTTTGATCAATGAGGATTCTCTTATGGCTAGAGTTCTCAAGGGGAAGTATTACCCTCACTCGTCTCTTTTGGAGGCAAACATTCAACCCAATGCGAGTTACACATGGAGATCGATAATGGGGGCTCGTGATGTGTTGGTAAAGGGGGCGAGGAAAGCGGTGGGCAATGGTGCTACGATCCACATTTGGAATGATCCATGGGTTCCTAATCTTCCAGGTTTTAAAGTCTGCTCTAGTCAGGTAATGGGTGAGGAAGAGCCTACTTCTGTGCGTGATTTGTGGTCTGACAAGTCGTGAGATGTTCAAGCTCTTGAGGCTCGTTTCTCGGCTTTGGAGGTGAGTGAAATCTGCAATATACCCATCCCTATGTTTGATAGGAAAGACTCTTGGGTGTGGCATTATACGAGAGATGGCAGGTACACAGTCCGTAGTGCCTACAATCTCTTGACTATTGAGCAGAAATATGACAAGGCCTCAAGCTCGAATGTGGGGTGCAAGGTGGACTGGTCTTTAGTGTGGGATGCTGAGATCCCTCCTAAGGCAAAGTTTTTTGCTTGGCGTGCTTTGAAAGGAGCTGTGGCTAATCGTGCTAATTTGCTTCATAGAGGTATGTCGATTGACCCTATATGCCCTATGTGTGGCAATTATGAGGAGAGTATTCTCCACTGTTTGGTGATGTGTGAAGAGGCGAGGCGAATTTGGTATTTATCTCCTTTAAGGCTTAATGTTGATAGCTTTGAGGGTGATTCTTTCGATCAATGGTGTTGCAATGTTAGGAATTCTCATAAGGAGTCTTTATGGTGGGACTTGTTTTGATGTATATTGTGGGGTGTTTGGTTACGAAGGAACATTTGGGTGTTTGAGAACGAAAAGAAGGATGTAGGTGAAATTATACATAAGGCAGTTGGTGTGGTGGGAGACTATGAGAGAGCGAAGGATACCCCTGCTCTCATCCAAACTGCCCAGGCTTTGGAGTCACGATGGAAGCTCCCTGCTCAAGGTGTGATTAAGATCAATTCGGATGCGGCGGTTTTTGGTACGAGTTTTGTGGGCTTGGGTGGGGTGATGCGTGATGATGTTGGAGATGTGGTGGTCTCAACATGTATTCGCATAAGTGGAAAGTTTGAAGCTGATGTTGCCGAGGCATTAGCTATGCGACATGCCTTATTTATCTCCTTAGATTCGGGATTCAATGATGTTTGCTTGGAAACTGATTGTTTAAAGCTCTTTAATCACTTGAAGAAAGGAGAAGCCCCTGCTACTGCCTTTGGTCTCGTGGTCCATGATATTATAAACCTCACTTCTCGCTGCCGAAGATGCTTCTTTTCGTTTGTGAAGAGGCAAGGAAACCGAGTTGCTCATGAAATTGCTAAACTTTGTTCTAATTTTTTTGATCTTAGAGTTTGGATGGAAGAGGTCCCTTTGGGAATCTCTGGTTTTGTTGTTGATGACTTGAACTCTTTGTTTGATTAATAATATTTTGAGCTCGGTTCCCGTCAAAAAAAAATAAAATATATTACGTAATTGTAACTTCAATTAGAATTAGTTTTTATTTTATTTTATTAATTTGTTTATATTTTATGTTTAAATGGAGTTCAAAAATAAAAGGAAATGATCTGAGTTTGACTTGGATCTACATATTCTTAATTTTGTTTTCCTGCAATAGGATGCATGCGAATAATACAGGTAGGTAAGCTTAAACATGCAACTTTTTCCTCAATCTCTGATCTAATTTTTGATAAAATAAATTATTTTTTTAAGGATCAAGGATCTTGGATCGTAAAAGATGTGTTCAATAATAACAACAATAATAATATATAATAATATTAATAAATTATAATAATATAGGGTTCAAGTTTTAATATATACCTAATTTATTGCTTTCATGCTTTGTTTTTTTTAAAAAACCAAAAGTGGTAATAGGAGTTCCTATAGTAATTAAGCAATGAGAAGTTGTAGTTTAATTTGACACATCAAATATATTTAAGTTACAATACTTTTAATTACAACATTCCCCAATGATTAGGTACAATATAATACGGAGTAGCTTAATTATACTAACAAACTTCTATTTGATCTAGATTAATTTGCAAATGAAAATTTTTACAAGCGGTACGGTGTAACTTGAATAAACATGCATTGTGGTTGTTTTAGCTACAAGTAATATTTACTTCAATGCTAAGATACTTGCTAAATATATTACATAATTTGCAAGCTACTACATGTGTCACCTAGCTTTAATTATAATTAATTTTATTTTATACTCTTCAATGTTCTCTTATTTCTCGTAATAAAAAATTATGTTTTATTATGAGTTGATCGAGAATTTTGAAAATCATTTTGTTTTATAATTAATAAGTGAGGAGAACAATAATTTATTTATATTACTCCGTATTTTGTTTTAAACAGAAAGAAAAAAAAGAAAGAATTGAAAGAAAGAAATGTTTGTTATTATAAAGGAACCCTCAAAATATTAAATTAAGGACACTTTACTCTTTTATGAAAGCATGGTATGACCTATGATTGAAAAACAATTACTATCTTAATTGAGTAATAATTAAGCAATCATTATTAACTTCCCTAAATTTCAGTTAACATAAAGATATATATGGTTGAGACATGGTCCAATGTCACAAGCAGAGAAGAACAATTAACAAGGATTACTGAATTACTTATCTACTTATCTTCATGTGAAAGTTTTAATGTTCTTTGCATTAATTATATATCTTATTCAGCCTTCACTTCAATGTTTTTATTCCCTAATAATGCTTATCACACCTTAATTTTTCCAATTAAAAGGCCAAGTAACAAATTCATTTTTTTTGATTCCGCCGTATTTTTCATACAAAATCGAGATTGATGACATATCCTAATGTCAAGTACTCAAGTGACCATTCTTTGTAAAGTCATGTTCCGTTATGAATAGTGTCATATTATTATAATATACGCTTAAATGCATAGAGATTAGTTAAGATCTTAAGACAAATAAAACAGAATTCCTTAAAAGTCATATTCCGTTACGAATAGTGTCATAACTGTCATTATAAATGTATATATGGCTGTTATTAATCATAAACTGTAATCTTATTATACTATAATAACGTTTTACATATGCATACAATTTTGAGCAGTATATTTACTAGTCTCTGATGTCAGGGAAGCAGAATAAAATGGGGTAAAGTGTTACGCCTTATGCTGCATAAAGTACAACGTGAAGGACATTTGCGTTGATAATTTATATTCAGTAAAAAGAAAAGGAAAAACCAAAAGAAAAAACAAGTAAAAAAATGGAAGAAAATAAAAAAGGAAAAAGGTTACCCTTATTTACCAAAAGTAAAGCAGTAAAAACAGAAAATGGTGTACTTGATATCTTGAAATTTACACATAATCGATGTCAATGCTTTCCATGGAATTCAGTGAAGGTTAAAAAAATTATTGCAATCTACATTCTTGTTATGATTACGACTTTTTAACCCAATCTAAATGCACTAATCCCACTTAATGTAGTATCTTAATCAAGGATCATAATCATACCTTAATCAGGTTTTCCAGAAAGTCTTGAACGGTGATATTTAATAAGAGCTAAAAATTAACGAACATCATAAAAGACACATACGGAGTACACTTTAAGATTTCAAAACCATTTACGAATAACCAAATTACGACCATTATAACAAAACCCCACCAAAAAAATTCTAGGACCCTATTTGCAGAATTGTACATGAAGTTAAATCTTGCAAGATACTCGTATATGTAATAAAAGTAGAATAAGAAAAAATAACCCGAGTATATAATAGAGATTTAGGTCGGGTTAGGATTGACGACAAAGACGCCAGGATATACTCATACAGTAGTAGTATTGTATGTTAAAAATTTGCAAAGTTTTAATAAATAAACAAACAAACAAAACAAGTTGTTGTGAATATTGTTGAGGTGTCGGTGGTGGTCTTTCTTCAAAGTCTTACTTCACTCACTCTTTTGCTCATCCTTCTTCTTCTGCTCCCACCTCACCTGCTCTACTCTACTTAACTCAACTTCTTCCCTACCATTTTCTCTCTCCTCATTTTCATCATTTATTTCAATTTCAAAGCAACCAATTAATCCATTCATTAACACATTGAATTCCAATGTTTTTTTGCTGAAATTTTGCATAAAGTTGCAATCTTTATTTCAGGGGTTTGTTGGGCTTTTTTTGTTGTTTAATTTCTTTTTACAGATTTAGAAAATGCAGAGATCTGAGAGAGATTATCCAAGGGATAAAAAGAAGGAATCATCAAATTGTCTTTTTGGGTTTGGAAATTGGATCTCAAGTATTATGGTGGATCCAAGACAGATTCTTGCTGGGTTTCTTACTGTCACCATGTTTGTTATGCTTGCTCATATGATTAGAAGAGACCATTTTCATTCCAATTCTCAGGTGGGTTTAATTTTTCAATCTTTTCATTAAATTGTGGTTTTTACTTGATGGGTTTTGTTAATTTTCCTGTAAAAATGTCAGAAATCTGTTCTATACATTACAAAATTGACAATGATGTAGACATGATTCGATCCCATGTCTTGGATACCACCCCCGAGACTTAAACCAACTAAGCTAGTCGACATCTAACCATCGAATAGTAAAATGATTAGAATTTTTAGCCTTATGTACTTATTTAATTTGGTTTTGGTAGATTAATAGAATTATTGAGATCTTATAGTTTTGCATTTATTTTATATTATAAAGGTGAGGATGTCATCAACTTCAAAAACCCAATTTGAAGAATCCAAGTATGCAGAACAATCTGTTGTTGAAGTTGATAGCAGTGGTCTATGGAAGGAAGATGCTCCTGAGCTTAAACCTTGTTGGGCCCAACCAAGTTTGGGTATTAATTTCTGAACTCTGAAACTTCAAAAAGTTATGAATTTGATTTAATATTTGGATCTCAGAAAAATGGAATTATGATGTCATAATATTAATTTCTTCATTTTTTTTTTCTTACAGAAGAAGGAGACCAATCTGAGGGATATGTTACTTTCTCCTTGACAGATGGTCCAGAATACCATGTCTCACAGGTGACTAACCAGATTCCACCTCCTTTTATTTATTTTCAAAGTTCTTGAAATTGCAATTAATGATGTCATAAAGCTCTTGTTGAAATTGCAATTAATTTTGCCCTTAAATTGGTGGGTGATTTATGTATTTAATTATTGTATACTATAATCTCTAAATTTTGTTTTAGTTTGGATGTTGACTGATCAATAATTTTGATCAATCTCATTACTTTCTTGTTGCAGTATGGAATATGATAGAATTATAAAAAGAAGATGAGTTTCCTTGTTTGTTAGAGTTAAATGTTTTGTCATGTACAAGAATTTGTCCTAGAATCTTGTTGGGGTAGCTCAATTAATCTTAAGTTTGTAGCTTTTGCGGCCATCTGAAGTTCTGGGAAAATCACCATCAATACACATTGGTGAAAAAGAGATTTTTTATTCCAATCGAAATCAGCTAATTAAACCTTGGAGTGTCAATTTGTCACCTAGGCCTATGGTCTCTATCGTCTTTCTAAAACTTGTAAATTCCCAACACCACCAAGTCACCAACTATAGGAGACTTCTGCTGGGTAATCATTGTTACCCTTACTGCTGTTCTTGTCTCTGAACTGTGTTACAAAACTTGTAGGTTTATGCTGTCATGCACACTCGTTAGAAACTTAGAATCTGAACTGCTCCTAATTGTGTTTAGTAGGATATCTAGGTCGAGAATATCCTACTACTCTTTAAACGTAGCTTTCTACTTTTTATAAGCTTATGATGTGCTTCTGTTACCAGATTTGTAATCGGAATTATACACAGTGGTGTCGCATTTAGATTGGGTGTTGGATCCCTCATATTGACATGCCTGGAGAATCAAATGTTTGCAGCCAGAAACCTGTATTTAGGTTGTTAGTTGGTTTAATTGGAAACATGGCAATGCTTCTCTTCAGTTTTGTGAGTTGATAATGTAATTAGAGTTGGGCAAAGTCTGCCAACATACATTCACCAATTCAGACATTATTATGTTGTAGTTGTATAATTGTATTAATCTCAATAATTGATTGAGTCTCATGCAGTAAAATTTCCTTTGACACAGATTGCTGATGCGGTGGTAGTGGCAAGAAACCTCGGTGCAACTCTTGTAGTTCCTGATATTAGGGGAAGCAAGTTGGGGGACAAGAGGTCGGTAATCAATTTTTGTAACATAACTCGTTTTCTTTCGTTGTGTTCTTCTTTTCATGCTGTTGACAGTATCAATGTTATGTTGGCTCTTCCTTTCCATTGTGCTGCATATTTGGTTCTGCTTTCCATTCCAAAATACTCTGTAGTACCTTGGGAACCTGAAGTGTGGAATTTAGGTATGAAGAATTTTATCATTGCACAGAGGAGAAAACTTTTAAATGAAACTATTACTTGCTAAATAGCTTTGGAAGTGGCAAATTGCACGCTCCGGCCGTGTATTAATCCTCATGCATGATTAGTTTAATACGGGAAAAGTATGGAAATCTAGCAGAAGTGTAGCCTTTTTTTTTATATTTATGTACACTTATTGACTTTTCCACCATTCCGATTGCAGGGATTTTGATGACGTCTATGATTCTCAGAAATTTACAACTAGCTTGAATGGGGTGGTCAGGGTAGTGAAGCAACCTCCTTCAATATCAACAAAAAAACTTGCTGTTGTGAAGGTTCCTAATCGTGTTACCAAAGAACACATTGCCGAAAATATTGAACCAGTGTTCAGGGAAAAGGGCAACATCAGGCTAGCTACTTATTTTCCATCAGTAAATATGAAAAAAGATAAAACAAAAACTGAAATTGATGCTGCTGCATGCATGGCAATGTTTGGGACTTTAGAGTTGCAACCAGAAGTTCGTGGTGTCGTGGACTCAATGGTGGAGCGATTGAGAACATTGAGTCGAAAGTCAGACGGCCGCTTTGTAGCTGTGGATTTGAGGGTTGATGTATTAGAAAAGAAGGGTTGCAAAGACAAAAGTGGTTCTGCTACAAAAAGTTGTTTTAATGCCGGAGAAATTGCTACTTTTTTAAGAAAAATTGGTTTTGGCAAGGATACCACAATCTATTTGACACAATCAAGATGGGACAGCAGTCTAGACACACTAAAGGAGCTCTTTCCCAGAACTTACACAAAGGTAACTTCTTGGAATTCTCTTATTTTGGTAATATTAACTTATTAAGTACAACGGCCTGTAGTGCGTAACCAACATTTCCAACCGAAACCACTAAATTAAGACCTCTAATGCATATTAAAAACATGGTACTATTCTTCACAATGCGAACAATATTGTTAGTATGCAAATTTGATCTAACTAGCGTTTGCCGTTGCCAATTATTGCAGGAGGGAATAATGCCTATGGATAAAAAGGACCAATTCCTTAATCCAGAAGCACCTACACTAGAAGAAGTTGTCGATTACTACATCTGTTCTGAAAGCGATGTTTTTGTACCAGCCATTTCTGGCCTATTCTATGCCAATGTTGCTGGGAAGAGGATCTCTTCTGGCAAAACACAAATACTCGTTCCAGCTGATATACCTGGCTCTTCTGCTTCCCCAGATAACTACCTTTCTCACTATGTCACCAAGCAGAACCACTTGGCTTATTCATGTTTCTGCTGATAGTTTTTCAGAACCAGAGACAAAATATTGGCCATACCTTTCATAATAGTGTTCAGAATTCTGATAAAACAGGTGAGTTTAACCATTTTGATAGTCAATGGTTGAGTGATTTTTCATACTTAAATTCAGGGTAACCTCAGGAAAACTCGAGGTTACTTGATCTTTAGAGATACAGCTTGTAATATATTTATTTAAGTTGTATTGTAGTGATTTGTAAACAGTGTGATTTCAACATGTTAGTTTGGTTCAGTTTGTGGCTTTATGACATGACATGCCAGATTTTTGTGCCCTTGCTAAATCAAAATTAAACTTTTGTAAGAAAAGAATAACATCAATTCTGGAATTATAAATCAAAATTTCAAACAAGAAAAAACTATACCAGTCAAATAGTATTTACTGCCATATTTGCATTTACACTTTGTTCAGCTGTCAGTGTTGTTTTTACAGAAAATATCAGCACAAATGTTGCTAGACTTGTAGAAAATGGGAGTTCGAGTTATACTCATACTTGTCTTCCTCCTAAAACGATTGCTTGCAAGAATGTCGCTTGGCTTTCCGTAGTGAAAGATCGTTGCTCACTGCAGGAAAGCAGATGGTGGAAGCTTAGCTTGACATACTTTGGCTCCTGGATTCTTTCTGTATGTTACCAAAAATAGTCATATTTTTTTACGCATTACGTGCAGTTCTGAATCGTTGGAATGGCCTCCTTAACATTTTGGACAAGGGCGTCTTTGGAACTGGTATGAACTTTCCAATAACAGCCAGAGGCCAGCTGAAAAAAAGTAAAGAAAAAGAATTAGATATTCCGAAACTCATAGCTTAATTGCATGACTGCAACCTTTCAAGAAGTTTTTATTCCCCAACTAGTCGCGCAACTAAATGGGATAAAATGTTCTAAAATTTTGTAAATGAGTAAACTTTAAGTCATGTATGAACAATATGAACACTTCGATTTATGTTATATGCCAATAAACGGTTAAAGCAATTAGCTAGGTTCTTAGCGAAAATATACCAACCTGAACAGGCCGATGGCAACTGAAAGAAGCCACAGTTTCCAGTTCAGTCTAACAGTTGTTGTGAACTTCCCAAGGAATTCAATGATGACTATCTGTTGAAGGTGAAAGGCAGCTTATTAGAATCAGGACTAGTGACACTAAGATGGACATGGCAAGGAGGTACAGAAATTGAAAAAAAAAATTAAGCAAAAAACAGCAGCAGAACCACCCACCTGAAGCACAAATGTAACTCCGATAATCCCCATGAACAGGTGATTGCTAGTTATACCCTTGAAGACGTTCAATTCATCTGGCTTCCGAGCATTGAACTCATTAAACAACTGCAGCATGAAAAGGAAATTAGGCTCCAATTTTACATCTCAATAGATTGGTGAACTAAGAACAGATCTACTAATTCCGAAGTTTACAGCTTACTTGACACAGAACAAATGCATTGAAAATCAATGTATTCTTCAACTTATTCTGATGCTCAAGGTTGCCTTCTTTTAACAAAGAAAAATTGCTGCTACCAAAGTTGAAAGCAAGGAGGATAGCAACTTGATATAGCGCCTGCAAGACCAAAGCAATGTTGTGATAACCTTGGTACCACGCGCATTTCTAAAAAATTACTAGGAGCTTAAGATGGAGAGATATTTACCTGTACAATTAGATTCCTCCACATGACGTTCGTAACCAGAGGCTCCCTAAACATAGAAAGGATGTCATAATCACCATAGATCGACTTTACGATAGTGCAGGATTTTAAAGAATATCAAAAACAAAAATATGATTATTATTCAAGAATCAATCAGTGAATCTAAATTCAAAATAAAACCTTCTGCCAACTGGAGCTCTGCGCATGAGCTGGTTAGTTGGTGGCTCAGTGGCTAGTGCAAGTGCTCCCAAAGTATCCATGATGAGATTTACCCACAAAAGCTGCATCAACAGCATAAACATTTTATAGAGATAGTGGGAATTAGTACAAGAGAAAGGAGAGCAAGAAACGCTACCTGCACAGCATTAAGAGGTATACTGCCCGAGGAAACAGCAGCGACAACATTAATAATAAGTGCTGCAACATTTACGGTAAGCTGGAATTGTATAAACTTTTGAATATTTGCATACACAGAACGTCCCCAACGTACAACCTGTATTCATATAAATCTTCAGTTGCTTACTCTACCAGACCTCCAGTAAGTTCTTTTCTTGAAAGACTACATGAAAAGCTAAGTGATACATGTTACACTACCTTTACAACTGATGAAAAATTATCGTCCAAGATAATGATGTCAGAGCTTTCTTTAGCGACTTCTGTACCGGAAATGCCCATGGAAAGACCAATATCTGCCTAAAGTACGAGGTAACATCAACTAAACATGGCAGAATTTTTGAGACTGAATGGCTTAAAAATGACTAAAACAGTAAAATCACAAAAAATATTTGCTTAATAGATACTTCAACTCATATAAAATGAACTAACATCAATTTCAAGCTTAAAAAATAAATCAACCTTCCTGATAAGACTTTACACAGTAATGAGTGAGCAGGATCACCTATATTAAACATTTATGACTATCAATTGAAATAAACTACTTTGAACAGTTTCATTAAGTTGTACTCTATAGTTGATGTGTTATAATAATTGACATGTATTTTCAGCAATGAATTATAAATATATCCTCATAAGTTCTGATATAATAAGAGTAATGAAATCATAATTTTCATACTTTAACTTGTAACTTAGATAATTGGAATGCCGCTCTTTAAACTAAGGAGATCACGTAGACTTTATTATTCCAACTTTCCATCTAAGTTGCCATAATAAAAATTACATACCAGATCTGTAGGACAACTATGATTATAGAAATACTTAAATTTATAAATAAAAAAAAAATAATAAAAAAAAAAACCCAGAGTGAAACCGTCCTACACATCTAAGTATTTACTTTGGTGAATTCATAAGATGTTCAATCCAATACGATATCAAAGCAGCAAGGAGGGTTTCAATGAAAGAAGCAAGCAACAACAAACATCATCTTTTCCCATAGGATATAAGGAATCCTTTAAGGAAGCTCATATTTTGTTACATAAATTTAACCCCAGTCCTCTTATAAAAGAGTAAAGTGTAAGAAATAAAAGCAAAGAGAACTATTTACTTGAAGGCCAGGGAAATACCTCATTAAGAGCAGGGGCATCGTTTGTGCCATCTCCTGTGACAGCTACAACATCACCTCCTTTGCGTAAAGCACGCACAAGCAGTAGTTTGTCATTTGGAGATGATCTTCCCATCACCTGTATACAAGAAAGAAAAAGGCTTAGAATATTATTTCTATATTGAGAAGGAAGAGATTAGTCATAAATAAGATAAAATGTTCATGCCATTCAGACATACTGTTATTTTTTTGGCAACTTCCTCTTGTTCTTTTTCTGAAAGTGCACGGAACGCTCTCCCTTCAATGACCACAGGTTCTGTAGTATCAGCACCTGGAGAAAGAATCCCACACTCTGTAGCAATTGCTATTGCTGTTTGAATGTTATCCCCAGTTACCATGCGGACCTGTTGTTGCAATTCAATTTAATTAAATGCTGAATGTGAAAGTATTATCGAGTCTTTTAGTTCTCTTCATAGTAGAGAAAATCAGTGCCAATCTTGCTGCCTGTATTAGCTATCCCATTGGAGTTACTGAAGAAAAATTAAAAACAGATGGTTTCCCCAACTTTGGCGGAACTATACAAAGCATTAAAAAGGTTCCCCCATCTCATTTTTACGTGAATTAATTTTACTTCTCACTCACAATATAGTTATCTTTTATCATTCATTTAAGCTCACAATAATGTATCCTATAAATCCAGATATCAAAGAATATTGTACCTTCACACCAGCAGCTGCACAGAGTCTCACAGCTTCATCAACACCAGGCCGACAAGGATCCTACACAAGCAAATTAGACAGTAACATTAAAGAAATTTGGAATTCAAAATTTCTGAAATCCTTGGCTTTATCAATTGAGATTCATAATAAAATGCAAGAAAGAGTCTCAGTCCTCTAAGAGTTTATGTCCTTCAGCAGTGTTACAGTCAGTTTAGCTATCATATCAGATTTTTAACAATCGCATAACTGATAAAGACACTGAATGAACTAGTAAAGAGTCAATGGAATACATCCCCATCTCTACATTTTATGAGAACTTTGAGCAATTTATGAACAAAAAAATACACAGTACATTCAAATTTCTCCCAGGTGTTTCCCTTTCCAAATCTTCGATCAGCTATTGCTACCATTCTAACATCACTTAAACGCAATCACAATGCTTTCAATCTTACATTAGACATACTTCTTATGACAATCAGTGTTATAAAAGGCAGATCAGATCAGAGTCTTATAGTGTGAAACAGATGATAGTGTTATTTATATTAAACGCAGATTATATCAGTCTTCTAAGAACAGATGGTAAAATTATATAGATTATTTGCAGCTTTCTACTATATTCAAAGGCATACAATTGTGAGTGAAGAAATCAATTCTAGAAATAACTCTTTCTTAGCATATAATTTCGTCTGCAGCAAAGTACTTCATTCACATCTATACCTTTATGCCAACAATTGCTAGCAAAATCAGGTCATCCTCTGGTAGGGTCCATTGTTCTAGCTCCTCCTCATTGGTATTTGGAACATCATTTCTGTCATAAGGTCTATAGGCAAAGGCGACACATCGCAAACTTTTTGCTGCCATATCATCAATGATTCCTTTAAAAAATGACTGCAGAAAAAATTTACACTGTAAGTGCCCAGAGGTGCATAGTAATATTAACAGCTGATTTTAAAGAGGACTATATACTTTGCATCAAGATTCAATCACACAATTTTACACAACTCAATCCAAGAGAACTGTAAACGCAATTTTTGAAGGAAAACTTATCTTCAGCTAAATAAGCTACATAAGAGTAATCAATACCATTTCATTTTTAATAGGTTGCACACAGCCATCCAGGTCAAAAAAATGTGTGCATGAAGAGAGAACCATCTCAGCTGCCCCTTTCCAGTGAATATGAACATCAGAGTTCGACTGCAACAATATTAAAAGTTAGAATCTTAAAACAGCATAAGAACAGTAGTTAGATAATAGGTAATATAGTAAATAGTTCGGAGTCTTAAATGAGGGATTATATACATAGAGCAATATGTACTGTTTAACTTAGAAAACAGTAAGGTCAGTAACACACAGCATATCTATCTAATAGAGTAAATTTAAAACAGAGAAATGCAGGGAGGCAAGTACCAGCTGCAATGCAACTCCACCACGCTTTTTCTCTGAATTGAACGGGCATACATGGAGAATAATGGCTTCTGATCTCACAGCATCAAACTTCATGCCCATCTTTGAATATATGACAAATTTACAGGATAAGTATAAATAATATAAGGGAATAAACATGTTTTGGAAATAAGCTACTGAATTCATATAATTTATTAAAGATATACCTCTACTCCCCATGACAAAATAGCCTTTTCTGTGGGAGATCCAGAAACTTCTACATTGCCACCCTCCTGTGGAAGAGATTAATAGAAGCTAACATCATTTTAGATATCAAATGAAAGAGGGAAAACTATAGAAAGTATGCCTATGAGTGAATTCCTTTCTGTTGCACTTATTAAAGCAACAGAATTCCATTACTTAAATACGAACTTGTCAAAAACAAGAAAGAAAAGTATGAAAAAAGATCATACCTTAGGAGCAAAAACACTACCAGTGGTATTAACTGCAACACCTTCTATTACAAGAGTTGAAAGCTCCTTCTTCATCTGGGAAGCATCACTTGGTGGATTCAACTTCTTTTTACCAGCATAGGCTTCCACTACGGTCATCTATAAGAAAATAAATCAGCGCACTATTTAAACAATTACAGAAGGCTTTCTCCACATGCTCCCCTCTTCACTAATTAATAAAGAACTTAAAGCTATCTTCTTCTCAACCCATTGCAATAGTAAAGAGTAAAAACCAATAATTATGTATGAAGCTACAGATATATGAGCCAATACACACCTGATTTAATGTTAGTGTTCCAGTTTTATCACTGCAAATAGTAGTTGCAGAACCCATAGTTTCACAAGCTGAAAGCCTTCGCACCTGTAAAAACAAATAAATAAAAGGATATAATTGTTATACAGCAATCAAACGAACCTGAAACTTCTATGAAAAATCAAGTAAAGCTCATTGACATGACAATAAACCAAAATTGCTACTCAAGACTTATACACATACATTAGGTTATCAATATTTCACAATGAAATTTAGAATAACCGTGAGGCTTAAAACAGATAAATTATAAACTATAGCGTAAAAAATCCTTATAGAAAATAATGACTAAGTGTGCATCCTGCCAGTTATGCTCTATTAATTGGTAGTCAAGAAGCACGATCAACAAAACCTTTTCAAATATCAAAGCAGTGAATTGTTAAGATTCAAGTTTTTAACATAATACAGATATCAATACATATCAATCCGATATCATGCAGATACATACAACACATATAGTGTCTTAACGAGTAAACTAAACAACATGAACTGAAAGTGGGATTCTATTTCCACGTTTAAGCAAATTTCTGGGATGCACATTACAAGTACATTCCCAAATTACAGATGCATAAAAAGGAAAGCAAAAAAAACATACTAGGGCTTTATCTGCCATCATTTTGCGCATTGAATAAGCTAGGCTGTCAGGAAAGATAACAAAAATAAATAATGAGACACCAAGAAAACCCAAAAATAACCAAGATGGAAAAAAGAAAAACAACACTCTTACGTTAAAGTAACAGCTAAGGGGAGTCCTTCAGGCACTGCAACAACCACAATCGTGACCTGAAATGTGCGATGGTCAAAAACATGAACCACTATATTAGGTGAACATCAGAAGAAATAATCTTACCGCAATGGTGAAAATCTCAATCACTCCATCAACTGCTTCACTAAAGCTTGTTTTACCCCCAACAAATTGCACTTTACCATCCGGATCCTTGGTGTGGCCAGTAAAATATCTGCAAGAATATCCTTAAAGTTACAACTTCCACTGGACGATGTTCCACTAGTCAGTAAACTGATGCATATAATACTTACCGTAGCACCAGAATGGCCAGGACAGCTACAGCAACAGAAAGCCCGACTATGCCTATAAAAGTTGCCACCCCATTTAATCGCACCTAATTAACATATGTGTTATTAAAAGCCCAACTCTTCTGAAAACAAACTAGAGGCAAAGGGAAAGGGAAAAAAAAAAACCTGCAAAGGGGTTTCTTCACCAGTGTCTTCCGAGATACTCGCCATCAGCAATCCCCACTCGGTATTAATTCCAACACCAGTAATCTAATACCAGTAAAAGTAGCTAATGCTCAAACCAATGCAAAACATCATAGAATATAAATTACCCAATATTAAGACTCAATTGATAACAATTAATGAATACAAAAAATAACTCATACCAGCATATATCCAAAGCCATCTGCCACTTTACAACCGGCTAAAAGAAAGGGTGACTTTTTGTCCTTATGAACCTGTGAAAAGAGGCATACATCTTGAAAAATATCAAATTAGCAATACCAAAATAATTTTTAAGTGGTCTAACCGGCTTACAATCTTGCTTTCTCCAGTCATGCTGGATTCATCAATCGCCAAGGAGTGACCAGATATGAAGACTCCATCAGCAGGGACCTCGGTTCACAAAATAAGAAGTTAAAGTTAGTATTCTCAAGTTATGCTAAATTCAGCAAGTAAACAGACAAAGTAACTATGTGCACCTGGTCTCCAATTTTAAGAGGCACAACATCACCAACAACAATGTCAAATATAGAGATCTTTTCCCTTCTGCCACCTCTAATCACCTGCATTGACAACATTGTGCGATTAGATAGGTGCAAAAATATTATAAACCCAATAAATTTGTATAAGGAATAAGTAAGACATATAAAATGCTGTATGTTTTGTTACAGAATCACACACCTCTAGCTGAATATTCCTTTTCTCTGCGTTTAAATTTTTAAACTGAAGAGATTGTCGATAATCACTGATGGCTGTTCATAAATCAAATTAAGTTGAATGAATAAAAGCAGTTACTCATATCATATATTTGAAGCAGGAGAGATAATAATTTCAAGTTTACGACATATAAATTGAAACTGTGCAGGCAATGACTAAACAAAATGTACATTAATGAACTAAACAAGCAAGCCTGGAACCAATGATATGCACAGGCATATCTAAAAAGATGTCAGAAACTCAGTATCCATATCCATCTCCTCCCCCCCCCCCCCCAACCCCCGACTTGCATTCCCACCAAAAGAATTTCAAGATTGATCTAAGAGCAGAAATTAAAGTTTCATACCTAACCAGTTATTTTAATCTAAAACCTTCGTTTTGGAACATTGTCAACTTTTTTGCACCCAACAACAGTTAGGTGCTTTTATTAACAAGAATGAGTTGATTGCAGAGTAAGCTTCAACATCAACAACACTAAATCAAAGCCATGACATCTCAAACCCAGCTCCACTCCCTCTGTGCCATTACATCTCATCTACCAATTTACAACAAAAATAAAAAGGTTTAGTGGCAAAATTCATACCAGTAACAAATATGACTAGCAACACTGCAAAAACAATGCTTCCTCCATCATACCATCCTTCCTTAAGACCCTGCATTTAGAAACTAGAGTCAAAATTTCAGCCTTGGAGAGGAGATTAATACTAGGGGAAAGCAATAGATTACTTAATAAGTCAATGACTGTCGGAAGGCCAATAACACATAATTCCCAAGAGAAACAGAAGTAAGATACTTTTGTACAAGAAACAGATCCAAGAGAGCTATTTGTATTCAAAGACTCTTTCAGAAGTCCAGAAATACAAGCTCACCTCAGTTTTAATCCCTAATGCTAGTGATACAACTGCAGCTATGATTAAGATAATAAGGGTCAAATCTTGCCAAGATTCCCACAGAAAAGACTGCAAAACAAGGATTTTAACTAATCAGAATAATTTCGGAAAAAAATGAAAAATGCTTTGGAACTGTTTACATAAAAAGTAGACAAACTGATTACCCAGAAGCCCTTTCCCTTTTTGGTAGGGTATGTATTTGAACCAAATGAGTTCTTTCGCTTTACAATATCATCCACCTCCCCTGAGACTCCTGTTTCTAAGTTTGTACTAAGCTTATCTTCTAGCCCTTTAACCTGAAAGTCACAAGGTTGTAAAGTCAGTAGAAAATTATAATTTCATGAAGGGTAGAAGAAGATAATATTACTTACTCCTCCATAGTCGTCCAGAGCTGAAAGTTTATTATCCCTGACCATTGTAGAAAGTTGTTCAAGTCCAATTCCATAATCACCAGTTGATATTGGAGGTGACAATGAAGGGTCTAGCACTAAATGCATATCATGGAAAGAACATAATAAGCAACTGTCACAGGAATCAAAATGTAAGAGTAGGCTGTGTGGCACAGGATCTAGGGATTACCAATATCTCGTTGCCCAGCCAATTTGAAAAGCATTGCTGCCTAATGAACCACCAGAAGGAACAACAAAAATGAAAAATATATTACATTAAAACAACAAAAATAAAAACAAGTACATCAATCTTGGAAAAAAGTCTGGTAATACTTACTCTCACAACTTGTGCATGGGCTCTTATCATTCTTCTCCTTTGCTCTTTCTCTTCATCCTTCTTTAGATCCAAGGTGTAGCGAAATCGACGGGAGGCATTTAGCACAAGTGCTGCTTGCTGCAATTAGGGAAATGTATCAGAAACATGAAGTTCCAAACACCCTTATAAACTACTGTGACACCATAACACAAGGCAGAAACACAACAAAAAGAAGTTTGTGTCAAGGATAACAACATGGTTACTTAAATATGTTCATTCAAAGTAATATAATCCAGTAGCCATTGCCAACATGGTTGACATTACCCCCAAAGCTCTTGGAAAATATTGATGGAAAATCTCCATTACACTACATATGTTGCTTCAACTTGAACTTCTCTCAAACCTATTACTATACTAAATTACTAATGTCATGCCAAAATAAAATTCCTGTCTCACCTCTTAGAGGAAAGCATACCGAGGAAATATAATCATCACTAGAAGAACATTAGAAAGTCCGAGTGATGAATGCAAAGCGAAACTGAAAACCTTGAAATCTAGAGAATACATGTGTAAAAGAAGAATCCACTCTTTAGCTTAAATCAAATCAACGGCTCACTAGTCAAAAGCTCTTCAGGTATTTAAAACATAATGAACTTTTTGTAAGAAATAAACAAAGTCATCTTGATGCAAGGGAATTTTCTTTTCATAAAGTAGAAAGATTATTTGCAACAGCATTTGTTATATGACCCCAAAAATCAGCAATTCACTTTGAGAAATCAACATCTAAGTTAAGTATGTTTACTCAATTTCAGTTCTCATGTTCCAGTAGACCACATTACACTTCCATCTACAAAATTGATACTTCTCACTAGAAACAAGTCCAATAACACAATGATTTACTAAATCCAATCGTAACTTGTTTGCAGAAGTTTGTGTTATATACTGCCATCCTCTAGCACAAATTCCACTTCTCCAACCCAAAAATAATATTGCTGAGGAAACAGGAGTCAAGGAAGAACCTTTTATCAGTCTGTTTCTACCACTAATAACCAGATGTATCTTTTCATGATCCATGCATCAACTGCAACACCTGAAATTTCTCCCTCTACGATTGCAAAGCATCATATATATGTTGATAGTATATGCAAAGCCAATATGTACAGCTCTCATCACATGAAAAAACCCCAAATATCTTAAATCTTTGTTCAAGATGTATCATCTTCATGGCAACCTAGGTACCTTTTCATAAAAGCAACTTCTCCGCATATTTGATATGTTAGGGGTAAATAATACATTTAAACCTCTTAAGGCAACCAGAAAATTTCTGTGTACAGTAATTGAGAGGAAGAACCATTCGTTGCTGGGTATGTATTTCATCATACATACTATGCTACTTTGTTGAAATGAGAACTTTTTTTTTTTGTATCTTTTTTCCGGTTAATTTCGATGTATGTGTAAGATACCACTTTTTTTTTGTTTCTTGACATTTTTCAGTCTCCTCTATTTTATGGCTACATGCCTTCTTTTTCTCCCTGTTCTCTCTTTTTTCTTCTTCTTCTTCCTAAAGGTATGGATTGGCCCTCCTGTACCAAATAGGCAACCATCCAGCCTCGTATGGTTGTCTCTTGAAAACAATAGGCGAATCTTGTGGTTATGGTTGCTTGGCTACAATGATCGTCTTCAAAGAAACAACATTTTCTAAATACTACTGCGATAATTCTAAAAAAAATCATCCTTGTCATCAATCATTGTCTTGTTTGTTGGAGTCTTTTTTATTGGATACAACTTGTTTGTTGGAGTCTTGTACACCCCTCAACACTAACTTCCTTAATTCATAATTTCATATAACCATCACAATCACCACAAAATTGATTGAAACACCACAGTGAACCAAATCACATGGGCATCCTCTCCTAGTTAATACAATCCAATCCAATTATCTAACTCTACATTTAATCCATTTAAATTACATTAAACTCAAACACACAATAACAAACAATATCATGTTACATGTAACAAGGGTAACATATAAACATTTTTTTTTTCTACAAAACATCAAATAAAATATTACCCTCCAACGCCTAAGAGATTCAGGTGGTGCATTCTTAGTATTGGCAATATCAAAAGGGTCATCAAAATACTCCTCCTCCTCCTCGTCCTCATCCACCTCCTTCTCGACCGCCTCGTATTCGTGTTCATTGTCATAAGCAACACCGGCCTCAACATCAACACTTCCGGGAGGCAACATCTCCTTGGTATCGGTTGGCTCGAGACCACCCGCCATGATAAATAGCCCTTGTTGTTCCTCAAACTATTTCTTTATTTGTCACTACACAAAATAAAATCATAAAAAACCCCAAAAAAAAAAAAATTAAGGAGCCTTCTCAAGGAGAGATGGCACCCGCCCTATAATTTTTTTGGGGTAAACAAATTAGTTCAGAGCCAGTGCCACCACCCCCTACTCAACCCAAAAACAACCAAACAAAAATACAAACCCCAAAAAAAATTGAAAAAAAAAATCCCAAAAATAATTATTGGATGAATATTAACCAACAATAAAACCGGATCATTCGAAAAAAACAAAAAAAAATCCCAGATAAGAGAAACGTGTAAAATGGCTGAAGGAGAGAAAATACAGGAGAAATAACACACGTATTAAATTGCATAATAAATGTAATTAATTCTATTAATAGTAACAGTTTTACTTAAATAAAAACGCTGAATTTAGCTTCATTGTATTCAAAATTTAAAATTTATTAGTGGGTATTTTGTTAAAGAAACTTACCGCAAACATAGCAAAAATTATGCCGCCAATCTCTCTGGTTTTTCTTCTGTGTTTCTTTCTGAAAGAACATTTCTTTGATGATTTTTTTGATTTAGTGTTGGACTGATATTAGTTGTGGAGTTAGTGGTGTTGAATGCGATGAAAATTGATGGATGATTTGCTACACTTCAGAGTATAGACAGTGGGTAATTGATACATTAGTTGAAGTAGTCTTTTTTGTACGAAGTTTCGCAGAAATTTCTTAATTTCGCGCCTTTAAAGGTACAGTACAGTACTGGAACCCGTGTACGCACGATTACAAAAATTAAGATGAATACCTCCGTTTTTTAATGTTCTTTTCATCACCGTGATGGAGGGAAAAAATAAGATAAGAGAGAATAAGGGTCTGTTTACATTTACTTAATTTCAGTTCAATTCAGCTCTAATCAGTTCAGTTCAGCTCCAATTAGTTCAGTTCAACTCTTGATTTTCCTCTCTCATAAAATATTCATTTTAGCTCAATTCAGTTCAGTTCACTTCAGTTCAGCTCCAATCAGTTCAGTTCAGTTCAACTCCAATCAGTTCAGTTCAGTTCAGTTTAGCTTAATTCAGTAAATGTGAACAGACCCTAAGGTAGTGAAAAAAGGTTAAAGAGGTTTGTAAAACATAAAATAAAGTGAATATTTTTCGTATCTTAAGAGGTTAGCTGCATTATAAAATGACAAAACAAAATATATTAAGAACATTATGAAAAGAAGTAGTCCATATATGATTGGATAATTGGATTGGAATAAAATACACCTTACATTTTTCACAATTTCTATGAAAAGCTTTTAATGTACTACCAAAACTTTTTTGAGTGCACGATACGTTAAGATGCTCATTAATTTTTTCCATGGACTAAGATCGTAACTTGAATTTAATTGAATCGAAGTGAACTGAATTATAGAGAGGAGATTGAGTACTAGACTAGTGAGTCACTGAGTGGCTGGCCTACTCATATAACACTCAAAAGTCACAAGTTCTTATCTATTGACCATATATTCCATGACCAGATTGAAGTCTGCTCACACCTAACTTACATTATTGTCCTTCAAACTTTCCAAGTTAGAATATAGAGAATGATTGAACTCCACTGCTGTATGCTTGTCATCAGATTCACTACAATTTACCGTCTTAGAGGGTGTGTGTGAACAGGATTCCTAGTTGCGGCAGTTTAAAAAGAAAATTAAAGGCTAAAGTAGACCATCTAAAATTCTAACTTAAGTCATAATGTGAGCAGACCTAAAAGCATTTATTAAAGACTTTAGAATTTAGCTCAGACTGTTCTACGGAGAACAAAAGGATGACAATGACAGAAAATGGCGCCTTTCGGCATAAAATTCTCCAATCAAACTTGTAATTTCCATAACACTTTCAGACTTTCATTGAATCACAGGACCACAAAATTGAGCTTGTATTCTTCCTATTGCTCTTCATTCACGGCCACGGCCACGGCCACAGCCACAGCCACGACTCACGAGTATTAACCAGTGTGAATTATCAAACAAACTACTTTTAAAACAATCAATCCACATATCTCCAGTGCATTATGTACACAAGTTAAGACTCTCACAAAATTCTGGGTAATTACAAATCAGACAGAGTGACCAAAACTAAATAATCATTTAGATGAAAGTACTGAATATATCAAGAAGAAGGTGGGATGATAGGGTTATGAGCCTCGATGTCAACATGCCGAATTCCTGGAACAAGCTTCTGGATCTCAGATTCCAGCCTATCTACTTCACTTCCAAGAGCAGTCACAACTTCCTCACCTGCCATTTACAATAATTAAGCTTCTCTAAGTGATGCAATAGTTAAAAATAAATATACCCTTTAAGACATGCATGTTATCCTCTATGACTGCACATGCTCATTTCAGGAAGACAGTCCACAATTACATACCATAGTTCGACATAACCTTGAGCAATTCAGTGTCATCTTCTCCATTTGCAGCATCCCGGAACTGCACACAGTAGGAAGCTCTCAACTAAGTATCAAGGAGTTTTCCCCCACAAAAACAAGGGTAGTAAATACAATTGTTTCACTTCAATTAGCAAACACTGTACACAAACTATGTTACTTTGACTTGGCATTTTTGGTACCACAACTGTGTCATTACAATACAGCAAGGACAAGGGTATGGAATCCATACCCGACAATTGATGTTACAACTGAACAAATCATGTGACTTAAATCCACAAGTAAGACAAACGAAGGGGCCAAGAAGAGAGGCTTTAGGAGAGTGCAATCAACATACAAGAACAGATTTGCCATTCGAGGAGCAACGTAGAGGTCCTAGATTAAAATGGTACATAAATGCGTGGATCTAAAACGTTTTTGAGTTGAGTCCAAGTGTAGTTACTTATTGGGCTTTGGATTTTAGGGCCCTTGATATTCTAATGATTTAAGTTTTATGTTTTGATATTAGATATGGATTATTATTGTTAGAGGCTGTATTCAAGAAGTTAGAATCTCTTATCCTCATTCCAAAACCATACCCATAACTCAAAATTTCAAGTCTTGCCAAGTTAGATATGTACTCATATCCAACACCTATAACCGAGTTTATCAGGTCATGTACAAAAAGTGAACATACTAGGAGAAATAATCTATTAATAATAATAATAATAATAATAATAATAATAATAATAATAATAATAATAATAATAATAATAATAATAAAGTATAAAAATGGATGATAGGCTCATAGAAAATTACCTGTCTAGCCCATGGTTCACGCCCAGCACGATTAATGTAATTTTGCACCAGCACGACACCATTGAAATCTGTTGCATGGACACCTTTCAGGCTTAATTCACTTCGGTACAGCTAAATTTAGTCATCCCCAAGGGGGATTTAAAAGATTAGTCATGTAAATACAATAATTTTAACATAGATCCTTGAGCACATAATTGATAAAGCATCATATGCTTAATAAGAACATTACAGCTCCTCATTTTGTATGCATTGGAGATATTTGCAGCAAGTGCTGGACAAAATATTCGTGGTTATGATAACTGCCTGAACCCATTCGTTGTCCAAAATACATTAAAAACTATATTGGCTGACACCTGACTAGAGTACGTTCATGTGATGAACCACATAGGTAGCAAAATTGACAAGACAACAAAAAATAACTGCCTTTATCCCTCAAAAAAAGAGAAGGAAAGAAAAATAATGAAGTATCCACAGCATGGTATCCACTACCAATCACATATCATGCAGCATAACTGTAAAAATTAAAGAAAGGAAAGTGAAAAGATTTACCAATTTCTGCCTTAAATCTGAAGAACCCAGGTCCAATCACCTCACTTTTGCAGTCATAAATTGCATCTACAACCTTTCAAAGATTAAAAGGAAAACAGTGAGAAAGGAGATGCCGTATATTCATAGTGTAACTGATTAAATTAAGCAGTGATTCAAATGAAAGTGTGGCACCAAAGAAGACATACCGGGTCATTTTTCAAAAACTCCAAGACCTTTTGCATATCCTGGTCATCAATCGCCCTTCCAATCAAAGCATGACGATTTCTTTGGATTAAGAAAATGGCAACCTGCGATTATTCCACAAACAAATACCCATGAATTATGAAGGAAAGAAAAAACTCTAGTATTCATAAGCCACAAGTTGCTACATTAACTACTTCAAAACAATAATTTAATAAGAATATTTGTTATCAGGCAAGTTCTATAGTTTTCTCCTTTCCTCAAATTTTGATTTCGATTCCATTAAACATCATTTAGAGCAGAGTATTACTCCTGCCACAGGCAAGGTTGGAGGTTCTCATGAACACAATATAACCCCTAGTAATAATTGATTTAGAGAGGCTGTTTTCCAAGGACTACACTCCATTCCATCGATTAACTAAAAGTCTAATGTGCAAACATTAGAAAGAAAGAGCTTCCAATTCCAACAATGAAAGACTTCTCCCTAATCTTTTTGGTGCCTCTTGTGGAATTCAATACACTGTGATGACTTAAAGACACTGTTGCAGATGCTCCGTATGAACTTTTTTCTACCACGTTTTTCTTTCCAATACGAGATAGTTTATAGTTGTATGACTTGTATACGAGTATGAGTTGGAGTGTCCTTGACTCATGTCAACCTAAATATGCCAAAAACTACTATGTATAAATAAAATGGTTTTCAAGCTCATAATTTGAGTTTTGCGAGTTGAACAGGAAAGAAATGTTACTGCTTTCTTATTTAACGTTGTAATTAATTTGGTTGGAGATGAATGATAAGACCTTTCAAGATTGAGTATCTGCTCCGGTTCCTATGCGGGAAGTTGTATAAAATATATAGCTTCTCTGTGGCTCAGGCTCGTGGTGCTGTTTCCTACTTAAATTATGTGGTCTACAGACCCACTCTTTCACACTTGCAAATTAAAATCAATTGGCTCTTTCACTTTTCTGTCAGTTGTTGAGTATGGCAGTGCCACATAGGAAAAATTTAGTGTTTTAAGCTTTATTTTTATGCTTTTTTTTTTTTTTTAAATATATTTTTATGCATTTGAAAAGCTTGAATATTTATGTGGTTCACCTAACTACCTAAAGATGTGTAATTACAATATCAGCAACCATCAAAAAGGAATGGAGGTAGTATTACTCCGTAACAAATGTTATTATGTAAAGTATATTTAGATTGGTCTATAGAAAATTTTCAATAGATCAAGTTATAATAATTTTTCATTATTGATAATTAATATTGATTGTTGATCTTGTGCATAGACAAACAAGAAAGCCAAAAGTGGAACAATTAGAAAAACAGAAAGAGCATTATAGGAAGTTTAATGTTGCTCCTAGGGACTACAGCTACATACATAAAAATGATAATAATACCATACCACGCCAGAAGAAACAAAACATCAATAACTTTAAGCATTTTAAGCAAAGCCACATCTAGAATTTTGATGAGAGGTTTTACTCACCATTCCAAGCAAATTACCAACAACTATTGAACCAATGGGGTCATAAATTGGATTCCCAGTGGCATTCACAGCCATTAGGGAAGCGCCTGCAATAGCTAGGCCAGTTACTGCAGCACCATCCTGCAAATACAAAGTTAATGAATAAGGGACACAATGAGGGGTAGATCAGACAACACAGCCCACCACAGAAAGCCCTCCTTTAGGCAATAAAGACAGACAATAGGAATAAATTGCAGTCCCAAATACAAACGAGAAAATAAGTAAGTGAAGCCTATAAAGTGCTTGAAGACATAAAGCATGTACCACTACCATGAGTGAGAGTGAGTGGTTAAGAGTGAGTGGTTAAGAGTGTGTTACAAGTGATTCACATGAGAGCGTGAGCATGAAGAAAAATAAAACTCCAGGGCTTAAGCAGAACAATTAATAGTGTGGTATGTAGGCCAATGCAACCAATTAATTTACGGAAAGCATATTATGATAGCAGATCAGGTACAGTTTCAGCAGACTACAGAGGTAGCAAAAACCCTTTTGAAATCAAATTCCAATATGCTCAATTAAGAATACAGTTTGTCATCAAATAACAGGAAAAAAAGTCAGATAAGATGCAACCCCCCATACAATGAAAAATAAGACAAGAGTCCCATATCTATGAACATAACAAAAGAAAGAATTAATTCTCAAGTCTATATGAGAGAGGGAAGGCAGAAAGAGGGGGGGGGGGGGATATCTCATTTAGTTTCCCAAGCCACGGGCCTTTTCAGCAAATCAAATTTCATCATTCCCCAATTCTATTTGTTAGGTTTTACTCTTAATATTTAATAATACTATCCCCAAGTATTGAGGAAAGTGCCAGAAACCAAAATAAGACACATTCTAAATGTACAATTCATTAAGAACCTAACATCTAGCTAACTTAGAAACCTAGGAAGCATAGATATATGGAGTAATAGATATACATTAAATCCGAAACGTATTACATTTTGACCATAATACATTTAGTGCACATGTATCTAAATATATTTGTCTATAATGCAACAGTAACAAAGACTTACCTCTGTCATGACTGCAACAGAAGTTGGATCATGTCCACGCCAAATGTAGTCTCTAAGCTTCATTCCCTCAGCAGCTGCCCCTTTCCTTACAGCATGTATTGCAACAACCAAAGAAGCACCTGAACAACTGCTGATGTGTTAGAAAAACAAATCAAACAAGCAATCAAGTAATGACCAGATATCTTAATTGAAAATGACTATACCTTCAATAATAAAGGAGCCACCTATAACAAGGGCTGCATATTTAATGTGTTCTGGGGGCTGGAAAGATTATCAAAACAGAATTTAGAGTATTTGTAGACAATTCATCATAATGCAGTGATATTTATTAATAATTTGTAATACCTGTGAATCCCACAAGTGTTGAAATCCATGAATTATTGTTGCACCCGAGCCAAGGCAGAATATGCCAACAGCAGATATCAAGGACCAGACAAATCTCTCCTTTGAGTAACCGTAGCTATGCACACAAAAGCAATGGTACTCATATCAGCCTATCAGGTATGTGCCCATCACCCACTAACACAATTTTTATTTTTCATATTATTCTAAGTTTCTAACACTTTTTTATATATATACAATTAATATTAACACAGCCTATATTAATTATGTCATCTAAGAAAATCCAATGTAAATTAAAATGAAAGCATCAGTGCTTGAACTTTTTTTCATCCCAGTAGCTGGCACTTGTCTATTAAACTGCAAATCAGTGAGTTTCTATGGAATATAATGAAGCACAAAATCAATGGAGTCACTTTCTATGAAAATCTTACGGATGAAGAGCGTCTGGACCACGCCTTGAACTACTCAACCCATATGCAAGAAGCGCCTACAATGTGAAGATGAATTAGTCTCTCTGCATGCAATAATTGAGGGATAGAGTCAATCTCAATGGCAATGCACCAATAATTTCAATAAACATCATTCACGGGAGATTATGGGGGGAAAAAAGAGTAACAGGATTACCTGATTTGCAAAATCCGCAACAGAGTGTATAACTTCAGCCAGCATAACATGGCTAGAAGTCGTCATCCAGACCCCAAATTTGAGAGAAAATACAAGAAAATTGCACCATAATGCAGTTGTGACAGCTCGCTGACTAAAGAAATAACAGAAAGGTTATCAATTATTGAAGACAAGAAGCAACAAAATGAAGACATTCAATAACATATGATGTCAAAGTATCTCCACGTCACAAGATATCATGAGCAATATAGTGAATGAATGCATTTAATATTGTACAAATTGTTAAGCACATCATTAATTATATCTTGTGCCTCACCATAGCCTATTACTTGCAGCACCACTAAGCAGTAAGCACATATGAGCTGATTCCATTATCAACTTTATCGTCCATAGCTAAGGGCATATCTGCACATAGCTAGTATGACACAAAAACCCTACTAGAGCATCAATTTATTCCAAGAACCTAACACAATAGATACGATCAAGGAACCTATCACTCTAATCACCCACATACATGATTAAGTTTGGTACAATTATACACTCTTAGTTTGCATCAAATATCAACCTTTATAGAATCTATTAAAGTAAATCAATGAAAAAATCCAGCTTATAGATAGTGTAACGGTTTTCCAATTAATTGATGGCGAGAAATTAAAAAAATAACCACAATCAAATGGATTAAATATGAAGATACATTATGATTACAATATTACTAGTGAATATAAAAAAAAAGGCTCCAGCTTTTTCTAAAATCATATGTAAATAATAGATTAATAAACCCACTATACTAACACCAAAAACAGATAATATAATCAATAGCTCATGAGCCAATATTACAAATTAATTCAAGAAAAAACATATAAATAAGAAAATTAATAAAATTTTATTATATTACCTGTGTTGATCAGTTACTTCAATCCTTTTAACTTCTTTAGCTCTAGTAAAAAAATCTGCACCCCAATAAAAAGACAAATTGAACAAAATTAACAACAAAACAACCCAATAATTCAAAATTAAACATTAAAATACATTTCAAACAAAAAATTATAGATTGAAAAAGAAAAGAAAAGGGGAAGAAACAATTACTTCGATGAAAAGAAAGGTGATGATGACTAAAATCAATAGGAATTTGGGAAAAGGGGGAAACCCTTTTGGAGGAGGGATTAGACAACAAAAACCCTTGTAAAAATGTGGTAGAAATATTAGTATTAGTAATTCTTCGAAACCCTTGTTCAACACCCGATTTGGCAGGAGTTGACGAAGAATTGGAATCGTCGCAACAACAAAAGATTAGAGAGAGAGAATGCGGCGGAGTTAGCGGCGGTGGTCGGAGGGGTGGGCGAGGGAGGAGAGAGAAAAAGCGCCGCCGCTGCATTTTCTCGATTACAGCTACTGCTACTGTTGCTGCATAATCTTGAGGAAAATGGAGGAGAGAGAAAATGGAGAAGAAGAAGAAGATTGAATGAAGATTGAAAAGTAGAAGTTGGCGGTTAGACTAAGAATCAAGCAAGCATTTCTGAATGAAATGAAGCATTATTCTTACTTCCCTCCAAGGGCTCCAACCTCTGTCACATTACCAACACTTTTGCATTTTGTTATGTGTTTTGGCTTCGAGTTTTAGACCGACATAATCCGTATAGATAGGCAATAGCGATGGGCAATGACGTGAACGAAATTTGATTTAATAATCATGTGTTAATCAATGGTCTTAAAATGTGTTGTTCCATGAAAATATACTATACTCCATAAGTTCATACAATATGTTAGAACTATTCAAAAAAATATATATACAATATGTTAGAACAAAAACTTAATTCGGCAAAATGAAGTATATGTGTTAAGTGCAATAATAATTTTACTAAAGTAAAGTTTGAGCTAGTTAAACCACTAAAAGCTATTGTCGAACACACCTCAATCGATAAAGTTTAACTTAGTTGTTTAAACAAAAAGTTTATAATTTGAGGTGCTTAACATCAATTCAAATTAATGCGAGTTGATGAATCCAATAATAAGGATTGAGGATGATTCAAACTAATTTCGAATCCAATAATAAAAAGTTATACCATTAGTTATGAACAATTTTGTTGATTTTGGGTCTATGCATATCTTTTTTTTTTTTTTTTTTTTTTTTTTTTTTTTTTTTTTTGCAAACTGTACATATCTATTGTTGATGAATAGTTTGTTGATTTTGGTCAAGTCGAGTTTTAAAGTAGATAAAATATTATACTTGGGTTAAAAAGCAAAATCGTTATGTACATTGGATATCTATTCTCGCAGTCTCCTATATAAAGCATGTGAGTACTTAAATGCGTAAATGTGAGGAGGTCCACCTAGAATTAAGCATTATAGTGCATAATTCAGAATCATGGAAGCTCACATCAATCTTCAAAGTAGGTAATAAGGCACATAAGAATATAACATATGACAATGCAAATTGACAATGTCTAAAGATATTTTCGGAAAATTGTAGTTACTTACAAGTTAAAAGTCGTATTTCATTGTACATCTCAGGAGAAAAACTAAAAATTCCTACATTTACTAGATAATTGTATTCCTTTTGGGATAGTTTGGCTAATTATAAGTTGATGATGTCATGATTATGGAATCAATGATATGATAAAAGCAATTAACTATAAAGTAACTAAGGAAGTAACTATAAAATAGTAAGCTAAGTATGTTGTTTAACATAGCAATCAACAAAAGTAGGGTATGGTGCATATATTTATACATGTAAGTAGCTTTATGGAGGTTGAAAGCTTGAAACTGATATATTACCCATGCAAATATGTTATACGTAGATGTCATCCTTGCCTATAAATAAACTCCCCTGCTTCTTTCATTTCTCTTCATCCTTGCATATTATTCCAACCTCTCAAAACAAATCATGTTCACTTCTAACATACTCCTTTGCTTGAGCTTATGCTCCTTTCTAGCCTTGTTTTCTGTCTCCAGTGTTGCTGTCTTGTTGCCGACTTCTCCTTTAACTGTTGGATTCTACTATAACACCTGCCCCTATGCTGAAGCTACGATCAAAGGGGTTGTAAAGTCAGCGATTTCTAAGGATCCTGGACTTGGAGCTGCTTTGATCAGAATGCACTCCCATGATTGTTTTGTGAGGGTATGTTATAATCTTGTGTTTAATTTGCTTTAATTTACAATGGATGTGCTTTTTATTTCAGCAAACACATTTTATGTTAAAGCCAGCATTAACGTAGGCTTGTATTCTGTTCAAGGGATGTGATGCATCCATTTTACTGGACTCGACTCCAGGGCATCCAACAGAGAAGGATCACTTCATCAACAAGCCTAGTGTAAGGGGGTTTGAAGTGATTGATGAAGCCAAGCTTCAACTTGAAGCTCAATGCCCCCAAACGGTCTCTTGCGCCGACATCATAGCTATTGCAGCTAGCGAGAGTGCCTATCAGCTTGGAGGGGTCTCTTATGCAGTGCAATCAGGGCGAAGGGATGGCCAGCATTCTCTTGAAAAGGAGCCCCTTGACAATCTGCCTTCTCCCTTTTCCAATCTAGAGTTGCTGAAAGAAAATTTCCAAAGAAAGGGACTGTCCTTGGAAGATATGGTTGTCCTGTCTGGAGCTCACTCGATTGGGGTTTCACACTGCTCCTCCTTCTCCACACGACTGTTTCCCTCAAACACCAGTGATAACTCAGATGAGCCAGTGATGGATCCGGACTTTGCAAGGGTGCTAAGATCGAGATGCCCAAAACCATCAAACAATGCTTCCTCTGGTGCTGATAACACCACCATCTTTGAAGACATAATGTCCTAAACAAAAGGGCATTGTTCAAGTCAGATGAGATGCTTCTTAGCAGCCATAAAACTGCTAAAATGGTGAACAAGTTCAGTAAGCAGGGTCATCTTTGGGCCGAAAAGTTTGCGAAAGCCATGGTGAAAATGGGATCCATTCAAGTGCTTACTGGTACAGCAGGGGAAATCAGAACAAGTTGTTGGGCAGTTAACTCATTTTAGTTCTATAAACGGCTCTGGTTGCAAATGTTATAACAGTTGTCTTGTGTTGTATAATGCAGATCAAATGTAGACTGTAGGAAGTAAAAGGCAAAACAGAACAGAAGAAGAGTATATTTACATAGTATTTGACAGCTAATCATATACTTTTTTTATAATATGCACATCAAATAAGCTAACAAACACTTGCATAGTTGCATACCAAAATCATAGATTGATAATTTTTGCATAACCTGACTTTTCAATTAGTATTTAGCATAAGGGGTTGTTTGTAAAGATGATAGCTATGATTTAAATTCATCTCTCAGAATTATAATGCATTAATTCCAAACATAGAGGAACTTATTTTATTAAATCATTTACATAGTATTTGACAGCTTATCATATACTTTTTTTTATACTTGTAATATGCACATCTAATAAGCTAACAAACACTTGAATTATAATTTTTGCATAACCTGACTTTTCAATTTGTTTGTAAAGGTGATAACTATGATTTATATTCATCTCTTTGAAGTTTGAATTATAATGCATTAATTCCAAACATAGAGGAACTTATTTTATTAAATCATTTTATCAACAGTACATTTATATAGCTTAGTGTTGGTGTTGGACATCACACCAACAAGTCAGTCCACCACCTTCGTCGGAATTACATTTTCCGGTTGATGGGGATGAGAAGATTTTCTTACAACGCTCATCACAAGTTGCATCATTGATGCATGGACGAGGCTTAGGAACAGGTATATTATGATCAAATAATGATGACACGGTGCAACAACAACTAGTTGTCGAATTTTGACATTGACCTGGGGCAGTAATGGCTAAACTTTCGTCGCATTTTTTGGCACATGGTGCATCATCTACACATCCTTTAGTCCCTTTAAGACACTTCAAAATCTTTCAATGCTTTGGCTTCACCTGCATACGTATCAAGTGGTTACGTTACTTATGAAATTAGCGATATGTTTTGTTATCAAATTAAAGTGCTCCCAAGAATTTCATCAAAAAAAAAAAAAAAAAAAAAATTGTAAAGAGATTAATAAATTACACTCTAAGTCAACAATATCGGCACACTAGTGAAATAAACATAATTAAGGACTTGTTTTAGTTACCGACTTATTTTTTTGGTTTAATTGGTATACATACACGTTTGAGTTCTCAGTTTTGTGGTTACGTTACTCATGAAATTAGCAAGTTATCAACTCTTAGTTTAAATAAAGACCTAAAATAGTGAAAAATTCAATTATATTGATAATAATTTGAAATAGAAGAAGTATTTTTTTTATTGGCCTCAAACTAAATTCAAACATGAACCCTTAATTAACTTGATTTTTTAGGTTCACAAAATCAATAGTAGAATGAAAGAGTGCACAAGAATTGAATATGATGAATATATTAACTAAAATAGATGCAATACCATACGTCCATACCATTGATTGAGACAAATAGGAAGTATATCAGCCCAAAGAGGGTTAATTTGGCTAGCCACGTGAAATTCTTGGAAGTCATTTTTCCAAAGAATTTTGGTGTTGTAATCTTTCAAATTCACTTGTGTAATAATTTTATAGAAATTTACACCAATAAATATATATATATATATAGGTGTAAAGTGTCATAAAATTTTAACAAAATATTTAAATATTCCTCGTATAATAATGAAAGTAAAGCATCTATTTATTTATTTTATTAAAAATCAATAATGGCAGTTTCATACGTATTTTCGTACGTTAGTAGTTAAACAAACATCTAAAACTTTGCTACATGTTTTTTTTTTTTTTGCCCTAAAAAAAAACTCACGAATGGTAGTGTTACACTAATGCGGATGTTATGTTGATGGTGCAATTCTCCATAATTAATACGTAATTCCAATTTCAAAGAACGTAGATAAATTAACATAAATATATAAAATAACAAGATAATAAAGATTTAATACCATGGCTTGAGACAAGTAGAAAGCATATGAGCCCAAAAAGGGTGCTTTTGGCGAGCGCCATGACAACCTTAGAAGCCATTTTCCCAAAGAATTTGATATTCCAGCGTTCTTGTATTATATTAAGAATAAGATTAATTTTTATAGACATTTGCAGTTATATAAAAGGTGAATAATTATTTGAAAATCTCAATCACAATATTACTCACTTTAGGAAACATATTTTTAGCTGATTTATCTGCTTAATTACTTTTAGTTCTAGTATAGAAAGTTAAGATTCATGAATGGAAAATTTTACAATCCATTAATTTTAAATTATCCCTTGATTCATCCAAACTAATACAGTATAAAATATTTATACTTCCTTCTAAAGTTGTAATGCATATCGTATATTTGAATGGAATTTTTTATTTTTTTTAGCTTCAAATAGAAAATTTTAGGAGTATACGTAGGCCAGGTGTCCTATATGGATAGAATCTCCAACATGTTCAATATTTCTATTCTTTTGAATTGTAGCTTAATTTAAGTTTAGTTTAGTATCATAATTCACCCTGCATTATACTCCTCGATCTTAAGGTGTGTCTTAAATTAGAAGAAATAATCTCTTCAAGAAATTCTTTGATATATATATTGATGATTTTGTAAAATCAAATCTTAATTAGCAATAAAATATTACACATAAAATAATATTTGAT